TAATGATAAGTAACTAATATTTGTTTGTAGTCTTTGATGCGCGCCAATTCCTTTTAACCTAAAAACATAATTAATCCACTCGAAGCATTGAATGCCATTGAATGTTGTTCGTCACGCGTATTCATTGTAATTTTTACAGAATTGATGATATTGAAGACAATTCAATACTTCGCAGAGGTGTTCCCGTAGCGCATTCGATTTATGGCGTGGCCAGCACCCTCAATGCAGCAAATTATGTGCTCTTTCTTTCGTTGGAGAAGGTGCAACAGTTGGGTCATCCAGAGGTAAATACAAATTATTAAAATTTTCCTTCATTTTCTAAAAAAACCATTCTTCACATTCATAGGCCACCAATGTTTACACCGAACAGCTGTTGGAACTGCATCGTGGCCAAGGCATGGAAATTTATTGGCGCGATAGTTTTACTTGCCCTTCGGAATCGGATTACAAGCTGATGACTATACGCAAAACGGGCGGTCTATTCATGCTTGCCATACGCTTGATGCAGCTCTTTAGCGAGAATAAGGAAGATTTCACTAAACTGACCGCCATACTGGGCTTGTACTTTCAAATACGTGACGATTACTGTAATCTGAGCTTGAAAGAGGTATGCACTATATTCAAGCTTTGTGCTTTTCTAACTACTTTTTCTATCACTTACATTTTGTGTTTTTCTTCAATTTAGTATACGCAAAATAAAAGCTTTGCTGAGGATTTAACCGAGGGTAAATTTGGTTTTCCTGTCATACATGCGGTACGCTCACAGAAGCATGACAAGCAGGTTTTGCGTGAGTGTTTGCCGAAAATAGTTAAATAGGCTTAACTATATACATATGTGTTAATTATTTCCTTAGATATTCTGCGACAGCGCACTCACGATATCGAAGTGAAGAAATACTGCATCAGTTTGCTGGAAAAATTGGGCAGCTTTCAGTATACGCGTGAGGTATTGGAATCACTCGACAAGGAAGCGAGAGCGGAGGTAATATATTTAAGTACTTTGTAAGGAGTGTTATTGATGCACATTTAAGGCGGGGTTTTAATGTAAATTGTTGCCAATTTCATATGGTCTGAAATGGCAATGGTGATATGCCCTGTGGGCATATGTATTTTGACAGGCAGGCTTGCAGAATGTCTCGGGAGTCGTCCAAAATTATTTCTTTAGGAGCTGCTAGTTACGACTCAGGTACCAGCTCAGCTCCCTTTGGTTCGACCTCGTTGAAACAGCTTGACGACAAATATACAATGATATACTATCCGGCTTAGAAAACCACGAAGAAGAGCCTGAAACAATTAGGCATTTACCCTGTTACTGCCCTGCGCTCTGCAGGAAAGGACAAACAATTCTGGATAAAGCAATTGAATTTTTGAAGTTAATGAACTATCTCTACTTAAAAAGGCCATCTGAAATTGGCTCTAAGCGTGACTGCAAAGTTTAGGATATGACAGCTTTTGGGTTCATAGACTCCACGAACTATTTAAAAAAGTAAGTGGGGTTCAATCTAGCTGCCCCCACGACAGACGGGTTAACGTAATCGGAAAATTCGTTGGGGTATTTTGATAGTGTTACAACAACAACCTAAGGTAGCAACATACTACAACCAAGTCAGTTTTTTCGCGTTCCGTTCTTGAAAATGCTTGAATAAGTGAAATAGGAGGGCTTCAATATTATACTTTCCACCGGGGCTAGTATAGGACAGAGTCTTAAGACTATCAACAGATAGTTGGTGGTTTATTCCTTTGTCTGAGGCAGTCTCTAGCTCGGTTTTGCGATAGCTGAGAGAAGGGCAGATATGTATGCCACATGTTCACAGATGAAATACCTGTATTAGTACAGTAATTCTATTACTGCCTTTTATTACCTAGGATCAAGGACTCAAGTAGTCAATCGGGCCTTAAAACTCAAGCAGTAATTGCAAACACAGACGAAAAATTTTTCATACTAGGCAATCACTTTATCAAATTGATTCTCAAAGTTATAAACTCTGACATTTTGTATATAAAATAGCACAAACCTCTGTGTTAGTTCTAATTGAATATCTGACTGCATCGATTTTAGTTTTACTATCAAAAGCCTATATTTGAACATTTTCAACTCACTAATGTCAAATTCATCCACTTAAATTGCATCCTTTGCCATTTCGCTTAAGTTACTCTACTATACCGTACTACCATACAGAATATATTTCAAATTTAATTATCAACTTTCTACCCGCCCTTCACTTACAGGTCGTACGCTTGGGTGGCAATCCTTACATGGATGTCTTACTCAACAAGTTGCTGTCATGGAAAGCCAACGATAATCACATTAATCACAATGATGTTGCATCGCCGAGCAATCACAATAGCAATTAACAGCCAAAGAGGCAAAAGAGGGAACTTTGAATTAACCCAGTTAATTCGCCAACCTCTTTTGCTGCTAAAAGTGAAATGAATATGATAGAGGTTTTTTTGCAAAAACTAAATATTTTTTAAATTATTCAACAAGCGCTTGTTAATAGCTGAATTTCATGTTTTTTCTTCGTTTCAACGTTCTTTCAATTATTAGAAACATGTGTTTTTTCTTCGTTTCAACGTTCTTTCAATTATTAGAAACATAAAACGAGAATATGTACTAAAATAGCACTAAAAGAACACTCAAGCGTGTAACATAGAGATTTAATTTAATAATTTAAGTACATACATATGAAAAAAATACATACTTATGCGCCGTTGAATTAAAGTATCCTAAGTCGGAAAATGCTCTTTTCCCTTTAAAGCAACATTTCATTGGGCTCGAAAACAATATTTTAACCTTTAACTATCCATAGGTGTAGTTCAAGATGCCCTTTTTAAAGAAGCTTAATAAAAATATAAAAATTTTCAAGGGAAACTTCAATTCAAAGTCAAACCTTCCAAAGTCACTTAAGCTACTTTAATTGTACGGCACAGATATGTACCTGTGTATTTATGTTCATTAAGTATTCGATTTGTTATCTAGCGTATAATTAACGGAGTTGAGAAGAAAAACGAATCTTCACATTTGTTTTGTTTTTTTTTTTGTATGGAAAATGTATAAAAATGAAATTTTGTTTTGATTCGTAAGCTACACTATCTTCCTGCTCTTACACACCTTGCCGTTTACGTATTTGTGTTAACTTTTGTGCCAGCATTGTAACTTAAGTTGCGGCTAATAAACATTATTCTTATAAATATTGAAAAAATTCAGATTGAATACGCTTGAGCGCTACACAAAATTATACATTCACTTTTTTACGAAAACCTACTTTCGCGTTTTGAGAAAAAAAGTTTATTATTAGAAACGTTTTTGAAAAACATGAAATATGCAATTTGATTGAATATTGTTGTTTTTACGGTAACATTTAATGCTACATACTTGTTAATATATCGTGTTGATTATAAACATATAATATGTAATTTCAATTCACTTAAGTACGCGTGTACTTAATATTCTAAATCGATGTATTGTACTTTAATTAAGCAATGTTTTTTAAAGAAAATTTTCATGGAAAATATTATAAATATCTTAAATATCACTTATCAAAAATTCCAAAATTCGCACGTTTATAGAATATACAAATTGTTAACGCAATAATCATTAAGCAAATGCACATCTACATACGCATACACATCCATACACGCCCTCGTACATACATACGTACATATAAAATCACAGTTACACTCGTTTTTATGCCTGAAGTATACAAAATATAGATTTTAGTGAAAAATATGTTCATATTCTATAACCTTTATTCACTTGTAAGTGATATGTGATTATTAGTTAGACTTTCAAGACTTTTTCCAATAAAATGTTTACTATAGTTGCTAGATTTTGTAGACTTCAGGCAGCTAAACAGGCAACAGCAGTTACAAGTAAAGACTTGCAAAACCGTTTGTAAATGATATTTTAAATAAAAGCAAAACAAATTTGTATGTATTCGCAATATTATAAAAATAGAACAAACAAAAAGAATGGACGCACGGCTGGAGAATGTTAACTTTTTTCAAATGAAATGCACTGCAGTTTATTGCACATTGCACCACCTAAAGTATATACATAAGTATACATAAAAATATATATATATTAATTATTACATAAATATATTTTTATTCGTATAAGTATTAAATACTTGCTACAGAGAATTTATGAAGTAAAGCCTATTGTAAAAGTGAAAGAAAATTTAAATAAACATAATGAAAATTAATACCAAAAAAACTAGTAGTCATGTAAATTGAAGGTTAAAAACGAACGAAGATTTGTTAAAGCTTTTGCAGAGCAAACTAAAATATATTGAGGTCCTAAAAGCTTTTAACAGAACAACAGTATTGATTTAAGTAGGTTGTTGTAACAAAATGCCTCTTAGGTTTGAGCCATGTTGTTGAAATGGCAGTCCTTGGGCCCTATATACATGAATGTGGGTCATTTCGGTTGCGAATTTTCGGACGGTTGCGGATTTTTAAACTATACCAAGAATCCGACCATTTTTACTGTACTATTTATTGGGTCTTCGCACTTAAAATAATAGCTTTCTGCACGATTTAAGTCGAAGTCCAATGACGTATATATAGATTTTTTTGAGGAATGCATAATGAAATGAAAGTATGCTCGTTAATTGTACATATTTTGTATAGTGTATTTAAATCATTTGATTACCTTTTGCATATCTAAATTCTAGTTATTACATAAGGCATTATAAATATGTATTAGAAATATTATTTTATAAACACTTAATAACTTTCTTATTAATAAATTATTAATATGCACGCTTTGCACATTATACCACATACATATTTATGTCTATAGTACTTATAAGTCAAGCAAAACACCTAAATGCACATATTCACATTCATATAAATTAATTGCAGCCATTGATTTGATCAATTAACGCCTAAATAATTTACGCTTTACTTTTAACTTAGTTAAATAAATTAAAGCAAATTTACTTATAAATTTCCTAGTGTCCAACATTGCATGTAGTATGTATAAAAATTTTTATTTGTATGTTTTCTATTTGTTTGAATCCATCTCAGCTTCTTATATTTTATATGCTAAATTTTATATTTATTTTTTATTTTATTTTTCCACTTATGTATATCTGTTATGTATAGTGTATTAAAATATTTTACAAACTGGTCTGAGAGTTACTAGTTATGTCTAAGTCCAGATTTGTATTATATAGTTTTATTAAGGGCCGTTTTCTTAAGTAGCTTTTTCTGCCCTTTCAACACAGTTTTTGGAACGAAATTTGTCTTTAAAGGGCAGATAAATTTTAAACGCTTCTTGAGAAAAAGGCCCTAAGCGAATAAAAGTAAGAAATAGCGAAAGTAAGAAATAGCGAATAATTTTTCAATTATATATCATATTTTCACTTTAGAAGCTTTTTTATATATCCATGCATTTCATTTAACGCGGAACCCTGTGAACATAGTCATATCGAGTAAATAACATTTATGCACATATCTGGCGATTATTATAAAATCCAAGTTTAATTTTTATATGTAAATATGTAAGAGTACACAGTCTACATATAAGTAGTAGCTTTTATACAAAATTATGCAAAAAATTTGGCGTAACAGCAAGAATGCATAAAAGTTGACAATTTAGTTAACTTATACAAAAATATGAAACACACACAGCACGAAAATATTGCAGATTTTTTTATAATTTTCACACAGACATAATTGTTTAAACATACGCACGTAGTATATGTATGTATGTCTGTATGTATACATACCTATATATTAGACCAAGCCAAAGAAAGTCCTGCAATGCGATTAAAAATTCTCACATTCTTTAAAGTCCTAAATTATCCTTTTAACTCGGGTTTAATTAGGCTGGCCTTGTTTGGGTGATTCCTTGTAATAATAAAAAAAAAATATTACAGCTTCGGATGTTTTGATGCTAGAAAATTATTTTGACCTCAAAGGAGAAGAGATCATTTTCTTACGAGAATTATCGTAGAGAAATGACAGTTTTCGGTCGCATTGCAGAATTTTTTTGTTTTGATTTGGCGTGGTCTAATGTATTTGCATGCTTAATTAGCTTTCCGTCTCTTTTGCCATGGAACACTTTTTCAGCATTAATTTCGATTTGTTAGTACACTGCAAAAGGTTTTTGTATACAATTTGAAATTCGTAATAATTAATTACAACAATATATGTAAGTAAATACTCAATACCTTGTAGCACTAAATATTAATGCGCTTGGCTTTCGTATACAAATGTATGCACTTACATAAAATTATTTCAATTGTATAGTATATGTTTAAGGTCACAGATTTATGTATGTATATTTTTAAGTATATCCTTTAAATACCTGTAATCTTTTTAGTATAGAATTATCGGCTTTCCTAAATACTTGCCATTTCGAGACAATTTGACAATGTGCTAGGCATTTGTTTATTGTTGTTGTTGTAACAGCATACAAATTCCCTAACGAGTTTTTGGAAAATGATGCTGGAGCCATTGTCCTTGGCCACATATGAATCTGGATCGTTATGGTTGAGCAAAGTGTCTGTAAATTCTGTTTTGCCTGCTAACAAAAATTAGTAGGCGTTGTGTTATACCTTCTAGTTTTAATTGCTTTGCAATTAACAAATAACAGTCTTCTCGTATTCTCCACTTAAAATTATCCTTTCTCAGAATTTTGAGGCATCCGCTCTCAAAGAAAAAAAAATATTCACAGAAGTACAAAAACGCAAAATTTGCAAAAAAACTTGCCAGCTTGGTACATTGACTCTGATTTGGTAGTTTTTAAAGCTGAATGCTTTTGGATAGGGAAAACCAATTTTAATAGATGAATGAATGAATTATTTTTCTCAAAATTATTTGCAATGCCACATCATGAGGCATTCAAAAACACTACAATCTACTCCAAATAGCCGTCCGTTTTCCAAAGAAGTTAAGTAGCTAGAGCTACATAATATTTCAACAATCAATCTACTGAAATCTGACAAGTTGGGTCAAAAACATTTTGGTGTATTTAGAGAAAATATGGTACAAAATAAAAATTTTATACGGCTACCGTAGCTGGCATATGTACACAAAAAATTAGAAAACTAGAGAGTGATAGTAAATTTACTAAAAATAAACTCATTATATCTTGTGCTTAATAACTTTACTCTCTTTTCGATTGTAGACATTTTCGTAAGTAAAATTTTTCCAACCACAATCAGCTGCTCTCAATAGTTCTGCTCATCAAGCAAAAAATTTGTTCGAATTAGCATTGATTGAAAAAAATATATAATTCGCCATATTGTGATGGCGACCATCTTGGATTAACATTTTTTTATAGCGTACTGTATTCTACTAGGCAAGCCCTTTAATTTGATATCCATATTGAGAGGATTGTGAAAAACTATGTAAACCGCCATTTTATGGTGATGGCCATCCTGGATTTACTGAATATACATATACAAAGCATATTAATGTATAAAATAAGTTAGGTTAGGTTACGGTTTTCATTAGAAAATTGCTTCGAAAAATATTAGATTAATCAGCTGCTCATAAAACCAACAAACTGTTACTGGTTTTGCGTTCAAGTATTTCTTTTTAGAAAATTTTTGCTTTGAGAGCGAATTCTATAAAATTAAGTTACTGGATAATTTGTACTGGAGATTACATGAATATGCTTTTGGGCCATAATTTCGGAATGTGTGAAAAATTTTACTTTGCATGCTGAAAACCCCAAGAAATATTTGTTATTCAGTTTTATATTTTCAAACAAATATATGTAGGTATGTACTTGTCTTCAAATATGCAGGACTTTTCAAATACAAATTCAGGGGGTTGTATTTAGGCTTTTGTTCAATTCAAATTTATAACTAGCGTGCACATCGCAGTTAGTTACTCATTTATTATGCAAATTCTATACAAAATCTTAGCAAGTACTAACTATATGGAGGTATAAGATTATAAGCTAGCTAATAAATTTACATAAGTGTTTTTGTGTACTTAAGTATGTATACTAAATGTAAATTAATGTGTACATTTTAGATCTTCTGTGATTTTCATTAGCCACAAGTGTATATATATGTATGCATGCAAATTAGTGTTGCCGCATCAAAATTATTTTAATGCCGAAATTCACATAAAAAATCTACCAAAAGTTCGGTACCACTCCAACCGAAAAAACTGCACATTTTGAAATTCTACTTCAAGAACGGCAAAATAAAAAAGCTTTTATATGTTACAAGCAGCCGTTATTGAAGGGTTCGTTTGTTCGCGAGGAGAATTGGAACATATTTGCAAAAAAAAAATTCTAGTCTAAGAAAGAAGAAGCTTCATAAACGGTGACAAAACCAAAATTTACTATCAGCCCAATTCTAAATCATTCCAGATGCTTTTTCGTTTTTTTCTGGGTTAATTTTCTTTTATTTAAAATCCATTATTATACGCAGGTACCATCTTTCCGATAAAAAAAAGAGTTTGAAGTCGGTTAAAAATGTTTGAGTTCTTTTTTGCTTTTTATGTAAATAAAGTGCTATTTGTGAAATGTTTATTTATTTATTCAATAATGTGCCTAAAATTTGCACAAATGTATTTTAAAGAGCATATTATGTGAATCGAATTTTCAGCAGCATAAACCGCTCCCAAAATATATTATTGGGTGCGTATTGACTATTTTGTTAGATAAAAATACGTAGCACCGGTATAAAAAAAGACATATTAAAAATCAACGCAGATTTCCAGCCGCTGGAAACTTGCAATAAATCTTGTATCAAAGTTTAATGGGCTCTAATACTTATAAAGCTACATACCTAAGGTTTTCTAAAAGTTCTGATAAAAATGTTTGAAATTGTAGTGAAAGTTTGTTGTTTTTTTTTGTAATTTTTGTACAAAGTTTGAAATGTGGATTGATGTGGTGTTACTTATAGTATACATTAGGGCGGGCCAATTTTATATTTAAGGAATTTTACGTCGGTACGTAATTTATGAATGCGTTTCTCGTCCATTTCTGTCTCT